TGTGTGTTTTGTTTTGAAATTGATGACTTTGAACTTCAGATTCTCCTGCCTTCATCTCTAGGATGCTGGGATTACAGGAGTGTGCCATCATACCCAGTTTATAAGGCTCATCCATGCATGCTAGGCTAGCACTCTGCCAACTGAGTTTAATCTCCAGTCTGAAGGTTACGCAGAATGTGACTGCTTACATAAACGTTCCATGGATATTTTATTTATTTTATTATTTTATTATTTCATTTCATTTATTATTTTATATTTTATTTGGTCTTTTTGAGACAGGGTCTCTTCTGTAGCCCCAGCTGGCCTGGAACTTGCTCTGTAGACCAACCTGGCCTTGAACTCACAGAGATCGGCCTGCCTCTGCCTCATGAGTGCTGAGACAAAGGGTGTGGGGCACCATGCCCTGCTTCCATGCATAGTTAAAAAGAAGTAATAGGCTAGAGAGATAGCTCAGCAGATAAGAACACTGACTGTTCTTGCAGAAGACCTGGGTTTGAATCCCAACAGCCACATGGCAGCTAACAACTGTTCTTAACCCCAGTTCCAGGGGATGTAACTCCAGTTCCAGGGGATCAGACAGTCTTTTCTGTCCTCACAGGCATTGCACGACACGGGTGCACTTACCTTACATGCAGGCAATACATGCATACACATAAAATAAAAATAATAAATAAAGTATTTTTAAAGCTTTATACACATAAACATACACACATGCATTATACATGTAATATATATACTTGTATGTTTGTATATATACATGTACATGCATATATATGCTCTCTCTATATATGTGCATGTCTATATTCACATATGCACTCACACACCATTTGGTCCATTATTTCCACTCCATTTAATGTATCTGGGAATAGTTTAAATAAGGATTTAGCAGAAATATTTATAATAATAAAATATTTAAAACAAAGTATACATCAACAAATAGATTCAGAGGAATATTATGCAGTAATTTAAAACACTGGTACTAACAGCTATTTGCTTACTTTCTTCTCAGCCCTCCAAGGGCCTTGTATGTGCCCATGTGTGTTGGGACTTCCCACAATAGTGACTTGAGATGGAGGGAGTTCCCTCTCCTGAAGGTTGCAGCCAAATCTGTTAATACAAGGAGAAGAGACACAGCTTTGGTTTATAGAAGGCACTGGGCCATCTTGATGACCCTCACTAAACTAAAAATCTTGATTTAAGCACACTGTTGTTGGTACAGTAAGATGTCTAAGATTTATTCATTGAAGCAGGTGAGCTATAATAGGATATCATTTTTGAAAATTATTTATATGACAGGAAAAAAGGACACAGCAAAATATTAACTGCTTTTCCTAGGTGATAGTGCTATGGATGCTTCTTCATTCTACCTATCCTCTTGAATTTTCTATTTTGTCTACAGTGAGTATGTATTCATTGTGTGATTTTTAGAAAAAAAAGTTAAACAAAAATGGGCAAAAAGTAGGCTAAAAGCAGAGGAAATGATATTTCATATTGTTTCCTGACAAATGTTAAAATCAGTGGTTTTAAAACAACAAATATTAATAGCAAACAAATATTTGTTAGAATTGTATGCACTCTTATTTTTTTTTATAAGACCCGGGCGTTGTAGACTTTTTGTGTCACTGAAGGGTAAGAGCAATTAAATGAGAAAGCTTTTAAACTGTATTTGATGATGTCCCTGACTGATTTTGTCTGTGACTGACTTTAACCGTTTTTTAACCTAGCATAATTGACTTTAATCCTTCACTGATGAAAGAATGCAATTTCAGCTGACCTTTATTCTACAACTTGGTAAGTATCGGGGCTGTCAAATCCATTTTCTGGTTGCAATGAATTGTCCTAAAACATTAAGTAGAAGTATATTTTAAGCATATCAATTTTTTCTATGCTCTATCTATACTTACATGACTCTTCCGTTGTAAACTTGTGTCAAACAACTGGAAATGCATGCACATATCTACTTGGTGGCTACGCATGCCTATTTTAATCACCCCTTAATTTATCAGCACATAAGTAAGCAAATTAAGATGCCAAATAGCAGCAAACAGTTTCAGATTCTTAGTTTACAAATACAATACATTTCATTTTCAAAATGGCTCTGTTTGAATGCAACATTTGTCCCAGTGATGAAATCTTGTGAAAAATTCTCTGGTACAATTCTCTCATCTAAGGAGGCAGCAGGTCTAAGCTAAAAGGCCAAATTCCCCATGCTTCTGCTATCTCTAATAAGCTGAGTAATAATAAAGAAAATGTTTCTAACAATTACTCTCTTTGATCCTGATTTTTCTGTAACAGCCTGGCCTCTGGATACCGAGTCTAACTAAATTGCTTTGAACTTTTTCTTCAAAGATTCATGCTGAACTTCTTCAGGGCAGCCAACTTTCAGAATCTTGCCACTTAATTTCTCCATTCCCAAACCCTGAAGTAATTTCCCCATTATGTTGTGGTAATGGAGGACAGAAAAGCTCCAAATGGTGAGGGCTCCTTTGCACTCTGCTGGAAATTCCCTGCCTGGGAGAGTGAGACACACATAGGCCAGCCAGAGCAGAGGACCCGGAGGCTTGGATCTGACCTTGCATCATCCAAAAAGCCATTTCAATATACAGCTGCCTTGGATGTTCTCTTTGGAAACTAAAATTCAGAAGAGGCCACAGACACTAACTCCGCCTTCTCTGGCCTCTGTCTCTTACCTCTGGCAGTGGCCCAAGCCAATCTGGTTACTGGGAGATCCCTCCTCAGACAGGGGCCTCCACTCTCTAAGAGGAAAACCTTCAAAACTTAATTACCTTAGTCAGAAAAGGCCTCATTGTAGTGGGTCTTGGTTTCCTAAAGTTAATTTGCCCTAATCAAAGCCAAGTCTCTAGAGTTGCCTAAGGTCAAACTCCCCAGGAGGATGGTCCACACATCCTTAGTATGGGCGTTTTCTTGTTTGTACTTTGCCCACACGTCATCAGTGGGGCATTTTCTGGTTGGTAGTTTGACTACAGTCATTTATATAAATATTGGAGCCTATCAAAACACTATGAGGATTCTGACCCAGGAAGAGGAGAATGAATCACCCAAAGTTCCTTGCGTCCTCCATGTTTGGGGGATTATATACAAAGTAAGAACTTTATCTAGCATGCACTCTTGTGTCACCCCTGACATCTAAAAGTGTGTAGCTACATGCTGTGCACCGTCATCCTCTAAAACTTTGAAATGAACCCTAGTGTGTTTGAAAGCATTTTACACAGTAAGGAAAACTGTAACAACATGCAAAATTATTGAATAGAAAAGCTACATGATGGCAGTTATTCTACAAAGTGATCCTTCACCTTAGAGAAGATTTGCTGCACATTTTTGTTTCAGTTTTAATATTTTATTTCTAAATTCATTTTAATAGTGTTCTATCTTCATCTCCTATGCCGTTTTCAAGGAATGCATTATTGTTCAATGATATAAACATCTTTAGCCCCTTGACTCAAGCCCAACCTCTTACTGATGTAATAATCTGGCAACTGACAACCTGAACCCAAGAAAGATCTCACTGAGTCTAAATTCAGACATGGAGCTCCCGTCACTTATGTTTCTAGCCATTCTGTGTGAAGTAGGGTAGACTAAAATTTCGTATCTGCACTTGTTCTACTGCAGGAATGACAATTCAATTTCTGTAAGCCCTGGAGTGTTCTTCTGAAAAGTATGCATCTGATTGTAACAAGTTCGGCCAAGTCAAGTTACAAAAACATGCTAATTCTCTGTGGTAACAACTCCAGTACAATAATTCAGGATGCAACTTGTCTAAAAGAATAAATCCCTGGAAGGGAAATCTTAGTTAATCCACACATACCATCAACAAAACTATACCTTGTTTTTAAAAGTCTCTGTTTATGGCAGTCCAAACTTCTCAATAGCTGTCGATTCTGGGTACCATGCCCGGGAAATAAAAATAGATAAGGATTTAATTTGTTAGATGAATAAAAAGGAAAATTCACAGTAATCAGTATAATTTATTGTACCACAAAAGATTATATCATGAAGTTAAGTTTCTGCACACAGGTAGCTCAAAGAAAGAAATATTATGGTTTTGATTTACAATAGTAATCCCTGTAGTGAGGCACAGATAAGCAATTCCCTGTTCCAACTGCCATTTAGTAACTCTGAGAGGGGAGACATTATATAATATTCTTAGTTGTAGAATTCATTATCTATCTGCAAGTTCTTTGTGTCTGATAATAGTCACAGAATGAGCACATCCATAGATCAGGGTCTATGAGAACGAGTGCTTCGGAGAAAGAGCACTATTTTCAGGGGCCTGTGATTTGAGAGGTCAGAATGAAAGAAAGAAATTCATTAAATGTAAAACAAGTCCGTGGAAAAAATCCTCTCCCTTTTGTAACTGAGAAGTGGGAGGAGAAGCAAAGCTTACTTCACAGCATGGCAATTATTTTTCATTACAGGCCATCCTCTGGCTCTTATCTTCTCAAATAAAACACGATATACATGTTTATGTCTCAAGGGAAAAGCACCTAAGAGCAGATGGAATGTATGTCATGTGCATGTTTCCTTAGAGTGTCAGAATTACTTGCCTCAACATTCAGAGGCTGATGGAGTGATTTTCTCTATTTGAGGAGTCTGTCTACTTTTTTATTTTGAAGTCTTTATAAGTTCCTACACAGTTGTGAGAAATAGTGCAGAGAGATCTGTGTACCCTTCACCCGGTTTTCCTCAGTGGTAAAATCATGCATAACCACAGTACAATGTCATGACCAGGAAATTGTCATTGATGCAATCACCATCTTATTCAAATTTCACCAGGATTTTTTTTGGAGGGGGAATATATTTGTTCATGTGTGTGCCCCTGCATATGAAAGCCTGAGATCAACATCAAATGTCTTCCTAATTGCTCTCCACCTCAGTTTTGAGGCAGGGTCTCTCACTAAATCCTTGGGATCCTTCCCTTACCCCCAGCACTGGGGTTATAGGCATGCACCACCACACCTAGCTTTTTGTATGGGTGCTGGGCTCCAAATGCAGATCTTCATGCTCATGTGACATCTCCCTACCTCCAGATTTCACCAGTTTGACATGTACTCATATATGAATATGTATTTTATTCTGTGTAATTTTATCACATACAGAATCATATGGTGATTGCTACAGTCATGATACAGAAGTTTTATCACCTCAAGGATCCCTAGTACTACTCTGTTTAGCTATGCCTCCCTCCTTGCCTCCCTAGCCTCCAACAATTGTAGATCTGCTCTCCATCTGTATAAATATGTCAGCGGAAGTATGCAACATGTAACCTTTCTTAACACAATTCCTTTGAGATTCATCTAAGTTGTGTCACTGGCTATTCATGGTCTGATCCTTTTCCTTGCTAAGCACTACATCATAGTATGGATATACAATAACGTGTTTAACCATTCACCCATTGAAGAACATCTAGATTGTTTCCAGGGTTTTTTTTTTTTTTTTTTTTGGCAATTACGAATAAAGATGCTATAGATGTTTTATGCAGGGTTTTGTGTGAATATAAGTTGCAGTTTGACTGGGATAGATATAGATAACTCTTTGGTTGATGAGAACCATAGTTTTGTAAGAAATTACCATACCTTTCTCCAGAGTGCCTGTAAACATTTTATATTCCCACTAGAAAGGTGTGCGGGATTCAGTTTCCCACATCCTCCATCAACATCTGGGTTACCACTGGTTTTTATTTTAGCTATTTTGGTAGGCATATAATAATATCTTACTGTTTTGGTAGGCATATAATAATATCTCACTGTGATATGATTTTCATTTATTATTTAAGAGCTAAAAATGTGCTTATTTACCGTCAGTATATCTTTCTCAATGAATTATCTGTCCATGTTGTTTACCATTTTCTCATCGTTATTGTTGCTTTGCTGGGCTTCCTTCCTGCCTTCCTTTCATTGTTGTTACAGTACTGAGGTTCAAAGTAACCTGCTAGGTAAATACTCTGCCACTGAGCTACATCCCCATCTCTGATGTATACACATATATGTGCACATATGTGCAGATGCATTTTTGGAGGCCAGAGGAGGATGTCTGGTGTCCTGCTCTATCAATGTCTGCCTTAATCCCTTGAGATAGGGTCTCTCACTGAACCTGGAGCTAGGCTGTGACCAGAAAGCCCAACAATCCTTCCATGTCTACTGCCCATTCCCAGCACTGCAGCTGGACATGCATATGGCCACACCCAGTTTTTTACATGGCTGCTGAGATCTGAATGTAGGTCTTCATGCTTGTACAGCAGGAACTCTTCCTCACTGAGCCATCTCTCCAGTGCTATTGGTTTTTATTTCATTTGCTTGTTATTTTAATATTTATATTTGTATACAACATATTTGGATCAAATCTACTCCTCCCATTCCCTCCCGTCCATTTCTTCCCTTATCCCCCACTATTTTTCCCTCCTAACTCATGTGCTTTCTCTTTTTTCAATACCAATTGAATCCACTTAGTGCTGCCTATATGTGCATGAGTGTGGGAACTTCCACTGGAGCATGAGGAGTCTCTCAGGGCAGGCATCCTGAAGAAAGCTGACTCTCCCTCCCACAACAACCATAAACCATCAATAGTTCCTCAAATAGCAATGGGGCTTCATGAGCCCTCCCCTTTCCATGTTGGGATTTTGTCTGGCTTGATCATGTGCATGTCTTGTATGTGTGCAGTCCCAGCTGCTGTGGATTTGTGTGGACCACTGTGCTGCCATGTCTGGCAAATACTGTTTTACTACAGACACCTACTCCCTCTGGTTCTTACAATCTTTCTGCCCCCTTGCCATGATGATCCTTGAGCCTTTGGGGGATGGGAGGTGGTCCAATCGGCTTTTTAATGCTGAGCTTTGGAATTTCTTCATATACCCTAGACAAATGAGCTTTGTTGGATATGTGGTTTGAAGTTCTGTTCTCAATTTATTGTTTCCCTGTTCCCCTCTTCAGCAGGTGGTTCTCAAAGCAAAAGTTTTGAGTTTTGATAAGGTCTCATTTTCTGATTTTTGCTTTTGTGGGTCATACATTATCAGTTCTAAAAGTTCTTTGCCTAGCCCTAAGACTCAAAGATTCTTTCCTGTGTTTTATAGCAATTTTACAGTTTCACTCTAAGTCCATAATACACTTTATTTATGTAAGGCGTGAGCTTGCACTTGTGGTTCATCTTTTGCCTAGGGATGTTTAATTGCTCTGGCGGCATTCCCCATCCATCAATTGCTTTTTGCCCCTCAAAAGTTGGTGGGTTATATTTGTGTCTATTTCTGGGTTCCATATCCTGTTCCATTGACAAGAGTTTAAAGCTCATGTTTTCTACAGCCATAAAGCAAGACTTAATATCAGAAAGATATTAAGAGTAAGGGGCTGGAGAGATGGCTCAGTGGTTCAGAGCACTGGCTGTTCTTGCAGAAGACCTGGGTTCGAATTCCAACAAATGCATAGTGGCTAAGAACCATCAGTAACTCCAGTTCCAGGGATCTGATGTCATTTTCTGACCTCCGTGGGCCTTGCATGACACAGGTGCACTTACATGCATGCAGGCAATACACTCATACACACAAAATAAAAATAATAAATAAATTTTTCAAAAAGAGTAAGAGATAGTAAGTCTTTCTCTTTTATTATTTTTTATTTTTTCAGTTATTCAAAGTCCTGTGCTTATCCATCTAGAGGCTACTTTATTTTTGTAAAATTATTGTGACTACAATTTGAATTGTAATCAAGAGAAAACTAGGGTTTAGAACTGGCCTCCAGGACCAAGCAGGGCTCTAGTCCTTTAGCTGAAGTAGAAATGATACTGAACTCTCCTATTCAAATATACATTTTAAAAGAAGAAACAACTATTTCTATAAATAGCTATTCACTAAATAGTACACTGGACTCTTGCTCACCCCACATTCAACTTTGTGTGTGCTAACTTCATATCTTAATTCCAGTAAGATTCTATTTATTTTTATTCAGACTTCCCAATTAGCCTGTCTATTAATGGCAAGAAATAATTCAGACTACTTGACACCCACACCAACACATACAGAGATTTAACAGTTAACTAACAATGACTCAAATTCATCCATTTGCAAAGATTTTCCTTGTTTTATTTTTATAAATATTTAATTTACTTTATGTGTATAAAATAAATTAAATATTTATTATATATGTGTGCATTTTGTGTATGCATTACCCGAGGAGGCCAGACGAGGACACCAGATTCCCTGGAACTGGAGTTAAGGATGGTTGTTAGCTGCCATGTGGGTTCTAGGAACACAACCGGGGTCCTCTGCAAGAGCAGCCAGTGCTCTTAACTGCTGAGCCATCTCTCCAGTCTTTCCTCATTTTCTTTATCTAACAATAGTTCTCAAATATTGTTAAGATTTGTGCACACAAAGCCATATATGTTATACTAGGTAAGTGTTGTGTTAGCTTTTCCTAGGAAGATCTGAACAAATGTCTTGTTACCCTAGATAGGGCACCAACAATAGGTCCATGGATTCCACACAGTCCAGTTTGGTGAACCAGTTCAATAGGCTGATTTAGAGGCACATGAGTGAGGATATTTACAGGAATGTAGGTAACCCCAAAACAGTCAAAACACAGAAAAGTAAGTTTCACCCAAACATAGATGTCAATTTCCCCACAGCTACACAAATGGAATCCCCTCTTCAGCTAACCTTCCATCTTTCCATCTTCAATATACTCTAGTACTTGTAAACCCAGCACTCTTGTATTAACAGTGCCAGACAGACAGAGACAGGTGGATCCTGGGGCCTTGCTGGCCAGCCAACCTAGAGGAATCATCAAGCTTCAGACCAACGAGAGACCCTGTCTCAAAAAATAAGGTAGATGGCTCCTGAGGATTAACACCCAAGGTTGACCCCTGGCCTACACACACACACACACACACACACACACACACACACACACACACACACACACACACAAAGATGGTAACAGTAGTTATGCTCAGAGAATGGCAGGCAATATATAAAACACTCCAGAGAAAATAGATTATGTGTGATTAACATCTGAAATCATCTCATAAAATTCGTCTTTGAATTCAGTTGAACAGAAGATGTGAAGAATAAAATCGAGTTTAGTATTTTCTAAAGTGTTTCTCTAGAGTTGCATGGAATATTGTACTTTTTTAAAAGTCCCTGTGAAATATATTTGAGAATTGTTAGATTAAATGATTTTAAAGATATTTGGTTTTGCTTTTTCAGAGAAGAATTTTTCAGGGCCTTTGCTAAAGTGCCCCAGGGAAAAACCAAGAGAAAAGCTTACTCCCATAGGATGCAGCAGCTCCCAAATGCTTTGTCCTCAATGTCACTTTTTGATGGAGAATTCTGATAATCTAGAGGTCACTTCACATTTTAGAAGCACTTACCATTCATTAAAATCTGTATTTGGATAAACTGAGACTTATAAATTATTATACCTAATACTACCCAGCAGGCAAAACTGGGAATACTCCTTATATAGTAACAGACTTAAAGGTAAGATGTATCTTTGCCCATTGCTGAATAAACATATAAATAAGTGCCTGTATCCATCAGTCATTAGATACAGGCTGCCCCATGTTGGGAAAAGGAGACACAGGTCATGTGATAGCCAATGCTGGGAATTGCCATCACGCTGAGGGCACCAACAGCATCCATAACCAGGCACTTAAAGAGCCACAGATCTGATATTAAAAGTAAAGGAGAGCCTGGAGAGATGGCTCAGTGGTTAAAAGCACTGGCTGTTCTTGCAGAGGCCCTGGGTTTGGTTCCCAGCACTCACATGGTGGCTAACAACTGTCTGTAACTCCAATTTCAGAAGATCAAATAACCCTCTTCTGGCCTCCACAGGCATTTCACACACCTGGTTCACTTACATATATGCAGGCAAAACACTCATACACATAAAATATAAATAAATAAATTTAAGTAAAAGAACTCTTAACTTTCCAGCTTAACTGGTTGCTTTTTGAAGTCCCAGACTATCCTGGGGCTACCTTCTACACAGCTGTTTCTATTGTGTTCAAGGCTGGCTCAGTTACTTAGGAGCTCCAGACGAATGCAGCAGGGGTACCTGCCATCCTGCCCCTGGGAATCTCCTTGTGGGACGCAGCGCACAACTTACAGCATCTTCTACTTGTGGACTGAATGGAGCTCAGAAATATTGCATCCTCAGCTACCTGGAGGTGGGTTGGTTCCTTGTTTACTGCTGGGCATTATTGAATCAATGGTGCATATCTTGAGGGACATATCTAGGACCACTCAGCCAACACAAAGGGAGAAAATGCTCCTGGAGCTGACACAGGCAATAAAACCCAAAGTCTAGGAAACCCAATTTCCATTTCCTGTTCCTTTCAGAATTAGACAGGAAAGTCATTTTGGTTCAGTCTCTGAAAGGAATTACTATAAAACCTACTGGTCTACTTGGCCGCCCTAGTCACTCCCAAAAATTGAACATAATTAACTCCTTCTGTAAAGATTAAAAAAAAAAAAAAAAAACATGCCGAGCATGAGTCCCCATGGCTCTACCTTAGCTAGACAGGAACAAAGTATAGAACTTTGAATAGATTGCACACCAACCTCATACCACTTGGAAACTGGATTATCTAAAACCCATAAATTCCCAGCATGAACATGTTTTGTGCCCCCCCCCACCTTTAAGAACTAGTTTTATTAAAGGGCTGGTGACTTTTCGGGGGGTTTTCCTCCCTGTGGACCAGCAGCAGAACAAGCATCAAAGGTTATCTAAGTGTCATACCTGATGAAAGCCCCGAGGCCATCGCGTCCACCCCTTAAATGAGAGGATGTGCAGGAAGGAAGTTGGATATGAGCCTAATGTTAGGGACCAGGCTTTTCCATGTATTGTTTACTTAAGGCAACTTGTTTAGGTCTCTATGAAATACATTGTATTCTAATTGGATTCTAGTAAAAGATGATGATTATAAATAAATAGAGACAATACAGTGCTTAGCACTGTTCTAAGTTTAGGAAGCACTTAGGTAAAGAAAAAAAAAGTAATTCTCTACATATACAAGGAAATTACATGGTAGAAAACTTTGCTCAATTCTAGACCGTGTGGGATGGATGGCCATTCAACTGACTGCTAAGTCCAGGGCCTCTATACAAAGAAACGATTCTCCACTCTAGTATTAGAACCCAACACTAGCACCACCCACCTGTTCTTCAGTCCCTGGCTTTGCTTACTGCTGCCAGGAGCCAACTGCTCTGCCAATAAAGAAACATGACTGGTCCTCTAGCTCAAAGTTACACCACCAAAAAGCAGTAAATGAAAACCTAAAGGTATAAGCTCATTTTGTCTAAAAAAATATTCAGAAATCTTAGAAAAGTTTAGAGCCAAGAACAAGGGAAACCTCAAAATATCTCAGACTGACAAGCAATAGTAAGTCTGACTATGGCTACTAATCTAGATAAACATTTGTGCAGCACACAATGTTTTTCCCCACCAGTTATCTGAGAAAGAGCTACCTAGCTAAACATATTCAGGATCTACACATCAGTACAGACCTGTGCATCACCCACACTGGGTCGCCCACATCTACTGGCCACCATGAAGCCTCCTCTGCAGTGATCCTAGCATAGACTATACCTCTAAAGTGTTTGTAGAAGAACAGCCTATAAGAGCTAAGGTTAAACACTTCCCCAGTACTTTCAAAGTATTGTTGGAAATACTTTGAAGATGTGGCGTGTTTTGATGGGATCACAGGCTTCTGCTGTTCTGGGAGGTCTGGGACAAGCTTACTTACTTGAAGAATTGATCTAGCATATAGCACCTCATACTATTCAAAGGACATTTGAGTCTTTAATAATAAGATATATTTAACAAGTGATTCTAAAATGCCCTTCTTAGAGGGGTTTTTTTTTCACTTTGGAAGACTCTAGCTGAAACATTCATTAAAACCAACACTCATTCGAGTCAGCAAATTTTATTGAGCAGCTACTGTAGGAAAAATACTATTCAAGGTAATAGACATAGCAATAAATAATGCCCCTGTTCTTGTTGAGCTTAAAGTGTAACCTTGGAGACAGACAACAAATGAACTACTATGTGATATGGTCTCAAGTACCAATAGATATTTAGGAAATAGGGCTTGGGATAAAGCTAGGTGGTAGGGTGTTTGCCTAGTACATGCTCTGGGCTTGAGCCTCACCCCCAAAATGATTTAGGAAATGTATGAAATAAGGTTGAGGATAGAGGGCGGCAGAAGACCATGAGGTGGGGAGGTGCCAGCATTTTAGAAAGGGCCAAAAAGAGTCTCTTTGAGAGGTTGCCATTTAAATGTGGATATAAAAGAAGAGAAAGTGAGAGTATTTGGAACAGAGACTAGCCTGTGCCAACTCCATGGCAAAAAGTTCTCAGTATACTTGAAGAAGAGCAAGAATCAAGTGTGGCTTGAGCCTAGTAAACAAAGTGACAACAGGTAGGAATAAAACAAAGTGGCCTGTCCAGACCACACCTGGGCCTGGAAGCCCATAAGGACACACAGTCAAACAGCGTTTACTGAGTGCCCACTGCCAAGGACCAATGCGATTGTAGCTGATTTCTGACACGGAAGATTGCAGTGAACAGCTACTTCCTAGAAGCTTTATGAAACTCACCTTCTGAGTCTTCCCAATATTGGTCAAGAACAATTGAGACCATTGAAAGTCTTTTAGAAACCTTTGTGGAGCTCTTTAGAAATTTGAGACCAGCCACAAGTGAACACATTCATTGAGCAAGTGTAAAGGCCAGGCTTGGTTGTTACCATCTTTGAAACCCCAACCTATGCAAAACTCATTCCTGTTTATCAGTAAGGCCTTCTGCAAAACTCATTCCTGTTTATCAGTAAGGCCTTCTAGACTGCAAGACAGGAGGGTAGGCCTCTTTGTTGTGATCTTCATGAAAATCCCTTTCCTAAGTTTACAAGTGTAACATAAAGATGTTTGCCATGGAAGCTTTCCTACCAAAAATCCTATAAAACCTGAGCGGAACGAGGTGGTGGTAACAGATAAGCTAGAACCAGCCATTTCATTGATTCCTTGCCAAATAGTCCTTTTATTGGCTGAGGGAAATAATTCACATTCAAAAAGAATGCTCTAAATAATCCTCTGTCATTTAAAAGAAACTTCCAAAGTACCTCTTAAATGAGAGAATATTAGTCTATATGAATTTGGAGATTTTTTTTTCCTCAAACTTACAAATTTATAAAATCTCTATCTCATATCTTAACTTACTTTGCTATTGTATTTAAGTACTTATTGATGGAAAAAGTGATGTCTTGTTATTTCCTCTGCTTTTTTATTTTTAGCCAGGTTGGAAGAGTAAATATAGTAAGGACAGCTTGTTTTTTAATTCAGATCAGCATAACTCTTTTAACGATGGTGTTTTCCAGGGGGAACAAAAATGCTTTGTCTGTGACTCCCGAGCCCCGTATGATGCCCACACCCAGCCCAACAGCCACACCATTGAGAATGTAATTACGAGTTTTGCACCAGACCGAGAAAAGAAATGGTGGCAATCTGAAAATGGTATGAATAAAGTCCTTTCCAATTTTTCATTTCTTCGTATTTAATAGGGCTCCTTTCTCCTTATGTGACTTTTATGAATGTCACAGCCAGATGTTATCCTCCAGAAACGAGGCGCTTCATATAGGAACAAATTGTAAGAAAGAATATCTCCCTTTAGAGAAATCTCAGTGTATTTTAAGCATATCACTCAGAATGCTTCACTCTTTCCATGTGGGGGAAGAAAATATCTCTGTATCCTTTGTTCTTTGTTTAAAAATAAAAGAATATTTATGAAGTATTTAGTAAATTCAGCTTAATATGAAACATGCTGAGAATGACCACCACCAGACATGTGAGGAGACAGGGAGATGGGACAGTTCTCTCTGCAAGTCAGAGATTAATGTAAATTTTGAATTGGAAGGAGAATTGGCTGCTGAGTAAGACTTTTCTTCCTGGATTCATGCCTTTATCCATGAGCAGTGGTGATGCTGAGTCCCACGCTGGCCCTGATCGTTTGTATTTCTTAGAGCCTTATTATGAGTGTGGACCTGGCAAGGCATTCCTCTTGCCACACCCCAGCCAAGGGTCTTCTGGGCCTAAGCACCCTTCCATCCACATGGAGCCTCCCCAGTGGAGGTTTCCTCACCCCCGATGGCCTTTCAACTTTGAGCACAAAATTATTCTATTCACTACATCTCTGTGTGACTCTTTGGACTCTAATATCTCTATTCAGACTTCTAAATATACTTCTTTTAGAACACTCTAGTTAGAACAAAACTGAAATAATCATACTATTTAAAATAGTTTAAGGCAAGCGTACTGTGAAGCTATCTTTATATGTCATCCACTTGATGTGGATGTGTTTGCTACTGCCGTCTCCTTTAGCTGATCCCCAGGGATCCCAGATATCGCTTTGGTTTTGCAACAGTCCCCCATCCTCACTGATGAATGCTCTCTGTTTTTACTAGCATCTCTTCTATTCCACATGTCCAGCATTGGTCACACTTCTTACAACATGAATGCCCCTCTGACAGTGCTGACTATACGAAGGAAGATTCTCCACAAAGCACTTTAGAGAGGGAAAGCAGACATCCTAGCAGAGCAATGTGGAACCTTACCTGGAATGTGGCTGTGGGGCAAAGCTTTCCCAAGTTACTCCCTCAGAACTGTAACAGGGCCTCTAGTCACAGAAGACCACCAGCTTCCAGGGCTGCACTGCCCAATCCAATGGCCTCAAGTTGTGTGTAGCTGCTGAGCACTTGAAACATGGCCAATCAACACAGAGATGTGCTGCCAGTGTGAAAATCCCCTGATGTCTAAGATGGAATCTGGGAGGAAATATATAATGAAGCATTAGTAATTTTTAGAATATTGAAGCCATTTTATATGGTTTGATTATATTATTAAAAGTCAATCTACCTATTTTTCCCTCATTAAATGTAGCTACTAGAAATTCTTAGATTATAATCTGACTTTGCTTCTGTTGGAGTAGTGCTCCTCTAGAGATCTTTAGGCCTCAGTGGAGCCAGCACAGGGCAGATGCTCACTGCAAAGTCCTGGCAGGATTTAGACATCTCCTCAATCACAGAGAGGCCCACAGAGCTCCACTCCAAGGGGAACAGTCCAAGTTGTGTTTTATGTCAAGTGACAAAAATGTATCTTCAGTGACTGTTAGCAGCTGTTCAGAAAAGGCTGTGTTGTCTTTCAGCATGCTCTGGTTTGCTAGCTCTAGCTCATGTCATTCAGGAAATGAACCCCCTTTGGACCCATTGGAAATGGCCAGGAGCTCCCTGGGGAGTGTGTGGGGCTGCCACACAGTGGTGGGGTGAGTTGCCACCAAGCTGTGCATGTTGACAGTTGGGGTGAACCTATGCTGCTCTGCTGTGGATCTCCTGGGACACGAGCCACAGACAGGAAAGCATGTGATTCCACAGGGACCGAATTTCAGAGAAGCCACGGCAAAGTGACTTGGTAAATGGGCATCTCAGAATTACCATCTTCTTGCTGATTTTTCTTTAGGTCTTGACCATGTCAGCATCAGATTGGACCTGGAGGCACTGTTCCAATTCAGCCACCTCATTCTGACCTTTAAGGTACAGACAGCTGGTAGACCTGCTGCCCCCTTCACTGCCAAAATGCATGGTGTCAACCCGAAATTTGACTTCCTGGCTTCCTTGCAGAGAACAAAGATCAAGTTTTGTCACCTGGGTTTTGTTCTTGAATTAACTGAAAAAGAAAACATTGTTTGATTATATGATTAAATTGTTTTTAATCTTAGAGGACAGAGATGAGAGAAACTTCAAGTACTGGGGTGACTAGAGCTAGAAGAAAAATCCTTTTTTTTTTTATGGTCTTTTTGAGGCAGGGTTTCCCTGTAGCCCCAGCTGTGCTGGAACTCCATATGTAGACCAGGCTGGCCTTGAACTCACAGAGATCTGCCTGCCTCTACCTCCTGAGTGCTGGGATTAAAGGTGTGTACCACCACACCTGGTGAAGAAAAATCCTTAGGAGAAAATGACGGGAGCTAGAAATTGTTTAGGAAAGAATGTCACCAAGAGGTGTGTGTGTATGAGTCCAGTGTTCATGTGAGGGGTGCATGTGTATGTGCGGGTATACATACACATGTGTGCTTATGTATGTGGAGGCCAGAGGACAACCTCAGGTATCTGTCCTCTGGTGCCATGCACTTTTCTTCTTCCTTTTTGAGACAGTCTCTCTCTGGTCTGGAACTCACCAAGAAGGCTAGACTGGCTGGTCAGTGAGACTCTGGAGGCTATTTCCTATCTCTGCCTCCCCAGTGCTGAGATATAAGCCAGCGCTGCCATGCCTGCCTTTTATTAACATGGTTTTTTGGGGGTTGAACTCAGGTGTTTATGCTTGCAGGCAAGCACTTTATCAACTTAGCTATCTCCCCAGCCCCACACAGTCTCTCCTTTTTTAAGATTCATTTTTATTTTATGAGTGTTTTGCCTGCACATTTGTATATGTACTGCATGTGTGCCTAATGCCTTTGGAGACGGGAAGAGGATATTAGACCCACTGGAACTGGAGTTACAGATGGTTTTTAGCTGCCATGTGGATGCTGGGACTCAAAGTCGGGTCCTCTGGAAGAGCGGCCAGGGCTCTTAACTGCTGAGCCATCTCTCCAGCCCCTCTACAGTCTCTTTTAATCACTCACTAAAAATCTAGCTTTGAGGTAAGTCCTAAGTACTAGTTTATAGTAATTGAAAAAATGAATATAAAATAAAATGATTAATTTTCTTTTAAATCACCAGTCTTTGCTCCAAAGAACTTATTTACCCCCTAGTATGGATAAGCACAAATAAACAGAAAATTGTAATACATAGTAGTAAGTGTAGAAATGGGGGTGTGGTTAGATGTCAGGGAATTTAAAGAGGTTCAATCCACTCTAAGCAATCGATACAAACTTCATAAATGGATTTTCAAAGATGTAGAAGAGTTTGCCTGAGGAACAGTATCCTAGGCAAAGGGATCCAGAGTAAAATGCTGAAAAATATAAATAACATTAGCTTTTCAATTTATATGCCATTTTCTTTCATTAATAATTCATACAGCCATAGTATTTTCAAAGTGTAACTAGATTCCGAGGACAAAATATGTATTCACAAATGCATGTCTACTTATTGGAATGAGAGCTAGGTGTATCAATTGCACAGTATATTTTAAAAGATATGCATAAAATTTGAAAAAATAGAATTAAAGCAATGCTTTAAATGTGAATGTTCAAAGTAGATAGTCATAATCATATCTGTCTTTGGGGACTATTACAAGGTGCACATTATTTTTACAGACTTTTCGGCCTGCTGCAATGTTAGTAGAACGTTCTACGGACTTTGGGCACACGTGGAAAGTGCTCAAATATTTTGCAAAAGACTGTATGGCCTCCTTTCCTGGCATCAACGCTGGCCAGGCCCAAGGAGTGGAAGACCTGGTTTGCGACTCCAGATACTCAGATACTGAACCCTCCACTGGTGGCGAGGTACCACTGCTTTCCCTGGGTTTATTTTATTATAAATTAAACATTTTTAATATGATTAGCTTAAATTTTATAATAAATTGAGATAGTATTTACTGTAATGTAATTTGGGCTGTTTTTTAAATGAAAGTGTCTAAATCAAAGAGTCCCAAATAATAAATAATAAATGTATTATCAGAAGTAGCCCTACACTGGTCTGCTCAGCTGAGGGTGAATAGGCCTAAAATCTAAACTGAGCACCCTGGTAGAGAGGAAGGAAAACCACCTATTTCCAAGCTTTGCAAAACAGCCACTCAGCCAGCAGCAGCCCCTGGCTGGCTCTCCCCACTGCCTGCTGTGTAAACTGCCCTGGTGGACTTTCCAGGAACATCTGTCTGCACAAAGCTGGTGACTGGCAGAAGGTCAGGGCACAAGTAGGATTGGCGGGTGTTGTTACCAGGAAGAGAAGAAAGAACCGGTGGCAGAAGACAGGTCCAGCCATCCCTGCCAGTCCAAGTTGGTGGTGGCTCTCTGATTTATCCACCACTCAGTCCTAACCCAGCAGAGCTTCCCCTCAGTGTCCCCTCAGTGTCACCTTCTCTGTCCACACACACACACACACACACCTGTGCATCAAGAGCCAGCAGCAGCTTCTGAATCCCTCAGTCACATGTGTTAGTAGTTACACAGAACCCAAGTAACGCACAGCCTGCACCAACTGGGAGGCAAATGTTCAGCCTTTTGGCAAAGTCAAGCTCTCTTCTCTAAAAGGAAATTAGACTGCTATATTTTAGAGTGCTACACTATGAATTTACCTGTGTTTGTCTTACAGGTTGTTTTAAAAGTTCTGGATCCCAGTTTTGAAATAGAAAACCCTTACAGCCTCCATATCCAGGGTATGGATTGTGTTATATTTTCCCATCTTGTCTTTTTTTTTTTTTTTTTTTTTTTTTTTTTTTTTTTTTTTTGTTTTTTTTTTTTTGGTCTTTTGTTTGAGGCAGGGTTTCCCTGTAGCCACAGCTGGCCTGAATTCACTATGGAGACCAGGCTGGCCTCGAACTCACAGAGATCTGCCTGCCTCTGCCTCCCAAGTGCTGGAATTAAAGGCATGCGCCACCGTGCCCAGCCCCATCTTGTCTTTAAATTTCCCATCAGGAGTGTTTCTTGTCATCTCATTTCTGTGGTAGGCTGAGGGGATGTCAGTCAGGAGAGCACCTTGACCCCATGCAGCTTAAATGCATTTTGAGTCATTGTTTTATTTTCTTTTCTCTAGACCTTGTAACATTAACAAACTTGAGGATAAACTTCACCAAGCTCCATACCCTTGGGGACACTTTACTTGGAAGGAAACAAAATGATTCCTTTGATAAATATTACTATGCTCTGTATGAGATGGTCATTCAGGGAAGCTGTTTTTGCAATGGTCACGCCAGTAAATGCAACCCTCAGAATGTGCAGGGAGATTTTTTCAGTCCTCCTGGAATGGTGAGTTATTCATCCAAAAGAGCAGCCAGCCCTCCCTCCTGACTTTCCCTATCCTGCTTGTAAATGAGACCAGACATCTATGTGAACGTTAGCAAATCCTAGTGCCAGTTTTGCAGGGGAGCGAATATCACGGCTTCACAGGCCACCTGGGACTTTACACTTATGTTGCAAAGGGGCCTGTGAATTCCATCACCTATGGGCATTGTTAAAATTATAAAGAACTTAAAATTTATGATTTCAAAGTAGCACAATTATGTTTTTGTCTTTCTCCCATTTGTTTATTCTTTTTGTAGGATAGAGAGAACTTCTAGAAATGAACCATAATTCACATCCATTTTCTCAAAAATGTATTAAAGATCTATTGGATACAAGACCTATGAACAGGTTCAGTGGTTCAGCAATATCTCGTATTGTAAGAATGGTCAACCCATGTGATAGTCTGTGCTCTGAATAACTATCAGCACTGCAGATCACTGTCATTCTTGAGAAAAATCTTCAAAAGTAGATGTAATTCTATTATATCTTGTGCTGCTTGTTGCTTTTGTGGTACTAGAGATGAAATCCAGGGCTTAAACATTCCAATTAAGAGCTCTGTCCCTGAGCCATACTCCAGCCCAAGAACTGTATTTTTGTACAGGGGTATGTCTACTAAACAAATTTTAACTTACTTGTGTTTGTTTGTGAGTGACAGTCTCATGTATCCCAAGCTGGCCTTGAACTCCCTATGTAGCAGAAAGTGGCCTCGAACTCCTGATCCTCCTTCTTCTACCTCCTGGGTTCTGGGATTACAGGTGTGCACATCCACACTTGGCTTTGAACTGTTTCTTTTAGCTTTAGCCCTCTTTGCCTTGCTGTTGAGCCTGTTGTACCTTCTCATGCAGCTGCCTCTGTGTTTCTCTGGAAACAGAGCTCCGCTCTGGCTTTGGGCTGTTTAGAGCATTTTGTGAAAAGCCTCCTTTTTCTGACTCTACTTTCCATTATGCACCTAACTCTGCTGTACACAGTCCCATAGGCCCTCACCTCAACCTGTTCCTCACACTGAGAGCTGCAATACATTGTCTGAAAACTAAAATTCTATAAATGTTCACTCAGTTGCTGAAAATTGAAAAGCTTGTCAAGTAATAGAAATGCCCTGGTTAGTATTATCACTAACACATGGAGAACTAATCTACTACTTCATTTTCCAGTTGAAGAAGCCCCCTCATTCTCAAAGAGAACGCCTATTTTAACAGTGTTTACCGCACAATGCAGGTTCATGGTCACTGCGTCTGTCAGCACAATACAGAAGGCCCCAACTGTGAGAGGTGCAAGGACTTCTTCCAGGATGCCCCTTGGAGGCCAGCTGTAGGCCCCCAGGACAGCACTTGCAGATGTGAGTAGAAGTAAGCTCTTCATAGGCGAGTGAGTTTTGTGTTCCTGTCTTGAAGAACATGTAAGGGAAGAACACAGGCAGCAGAGGAATGAGGCGGCATCTCCCAGCTGCAGTTGTCTGATACCCTATTTGCTTCAAGCATCTCACATAGGAGAATCCTCAACTTTTCAAACTCTCACACTTCAAATTAATTTTTAAGTGAAATAATGTGCATGTTGTGTGGCCCAGCTTCAGAGGCAGGGTAGACAATTATAGTGGCAAAGTAACTGGGAACAATGCAAATCTAAGCATTTGGTAACACTGGATTTGGTACAGAGATCTCCATCACCTGCATGATCGGCCATCCCATGAGCTCGACCTTAAACCCACAGGCAGAAAGACAGGGGAAAGAGGTCCAGGATTGAGCTTGATAAGCTATGGTACTTTATACAAAATATGCAGAGTAACAAAGTGCTGTTTTTCATAATATATCTGCTGCCTCTGAATTTTGATGAACTTCCAAAACATCTTGTTATTCCATTTCTTTTCCCAGATTTAGGAAAAATTGGACACAAGGGAATAAAAGATCCCTAGAACAGTGCTAATGTTTTTTAAAATCCACATCTTTGACAGTTACAATATGCAAAACAGCCAAGCTCAGCCTGTTTACAAGGGAAAAAAAATCAAAGCAGGCAACCAAAGCATAGACATTATCACAAAGAAACAAACTCCACCAGCAGACATCAAGGCCCTATGTGCCTCTGGCTGAAGCACTGATGCGATAGTGACCCGTGGTTGCCCTTCTAGCTCCTCTGTCCTACACAGAAGAAGCTAAATGAGGGTGAGCTGCAGCTTCTTACTTGATAAGCCCAGTGTATAGATTTCTGGTTTAAAATTTCACATTTACAAAGCAAAGTTATTAAAAGTAGTTCTTTTCTGAACACCACTACAGATATTGCTCCCTGTGGCTTCTAGATGACCTGGAGAATCACATTTGTTTGTATGGTTACTACATATTAAACAGAGCACATCTTCTAGAAAGTCCATGAGCAGAATCAGCACTAGACCTTGGAAAGCACCTATTTGGGCCGTGGTACTCCCTGGGTAACCAGGAATGGAAGAGGCTGGGGCAAGGAGGAGCAGGGGGACATGGCATCCTAAGACTTCAGCAAGACTCTCACTCAGGTACCCTCCTCTGCTCTCCCAGCCTGCAACTGCAATGGCCACTCTGAGCGCTGCCACTTCGACATGGCTGTGTACCTGGCTAGTGGAGGCCTCAGCGGGGGCGTGTGTGAGGAGTGTGAGCACCACACCGAGGGCCAGCACTGTGATCGCTGCAGACCCCTTTTCTACAGAGACCCCCTCAAGCCCATCTCGGACCCCAATGCATGCCTTTGTGAGTCCCCAACCTCACCTCTCCTTGACCTTTCCTCTTACCTGAGCAAATTCTAGCCTGACCTCACCAGGGCTGCCTGCCTGCAAGTGGCCCCTCTCTACTTAACTGAGTCCCCAAACTCCCTGTGGGAGGTGGTATGCAAAGCCATTCCAGCTCTAAGAGTGTTTCTTTCTCCAAACAAATTAAGTCAAATAATCTTGGATGGTCTTGAGAGTCTTGCAGCAGGAGTCATCTGAGGGAATAGGGAAGCTGCTCAGAATTCACCCAGGAGGGGCTGACGGTCTGACATTTCCAGGCATCTTGAAAGTCAACACAGGGAAATAACAGTGAAACTGGCTAAAACAGTTGACCGACTGTAGACAATTAAATTTTGCAGTTAGGATGGATTAGGTAGGGTATCATCTTGCTTCTTTAAAAAAATGTTTAAAACTCTTTTGGGGTCAAAGAGGCTGGGGATTGAGCCTAGGGCATTGCATACACTAGGCAAGTACTATAATCACTGGATATCTTCTCAATCCTTTTTTAAAAAATGTGTGTGTATAAGTATTTTGCCTGCATGTGCACCATACGTGCAATGTCTGCAGAGGCCGGTAAAGGGTGTCAAATCCCCTAGAACTGGAGTTACAGACAGTTGTTAACTACCAGGTGGATACTGGGAATAGACCCAGTCCTCCTCAAGAGCAGCCAGTGCTCGTAACCCCTGAGCCGTCTCTGCAGCCCCTCTGCCCTTTTTCCACTTTTCATTTTTGACATAGGATCTCACCAAGTTTTCCAAGCTGGCCTCGAACTTGATCTATAGCCCAGGCAGGCCTTGAGTTGTGATCCTCCTCTCTCTACCTCTCATGTAGCTAGGATTACGGGCACCTTTAGAAATTAAGTTGCTTCAGTGTTACAAAATAACAGTAGAATAAACACTGTATACCACCCCCAGCTTTATTAGAATCTGGTAGCTTAGCCTGCTACTTTTGGGACTTGCTTTACTAGAACACAGCAGGTGCTATCCATGCCCCAGGTGCATGCCTGCACCATCTGTCTGCTTGCCTTCCTAGAAGTCTGTGCTTAGAAGTGGTATTTATCATTGTCGGGCTTGTTCTTACACTTTCCAGTGTGTTCTTATCACAGACAATGTATGTTGGCATGCTTTCAAACTTTTGTTAATGATAGCTTTAGTTAAATGATGTTACATCACATATATCATCCCAACAACTTGGTTATTTCATTCAACAATTTGTTTTTAAACTTGCCCCATGGCAGGTGCACCTAGTTTTTCCCTTTTCATTTCTGTAAAGAATCCCTTCCTATTAATAGAAAAAGTTACATTTGTCCATTTTTCTACTAATATTACAATAAACTTTCTTATATTTATGACCTTGGGCACATATGCAAAGTCTATCCATAAGAAACAATGAGACAGGATGTGGTGGCAGAAATCTTTAATCCCAGCACTCAGGAGGCAGGCAGATCTCTGTGAGACCAAAGCCAGCCTGGTCTACATAGTAAGCTCCGGGCCAGCTGGGGCTACAAGGAGACCCTGGGAGAGGAGGGAGAGAGAGGGAGAGAGAGAGAGAGAGAGAGAGAGAGAGAGAGAAAGAGAAGAGTAAACTTTCTGGGCCATGGACTGTGCATCTATTAAAAACAGATAACACTGAATTGTTTCCCATGAGAGTGTGTCAGTCATGGTTGTGCAAAGCTTGTGCTAGCACTGTGTTTTGTTTAACTTCAACTTTTGCTAACCTTAGTTTTGTCACACTTTCATTGCTGATGAAGTAACATGTCATCATTGTTTTACTTTGCATTTCTCTACAGAACTGGGACTAAATGAGGCAAACAAAACACTAGGTCCCTAAATTTAAGGCAGCACTTATTATTAGGGTCATGTAAATGAAGTTACCACTTGCCACTTGCATGATCCTGAAAGTGAGAACCTCCTTAAGTTTCATACCCCTGGTTCCTTACTTGCTGCACTGTAGCCCCATCATTACTGGGTATCACCTGGGTAAGTATTTGCCCTGATTTAAGATGTCCAGTGTCAGTCACTGTGTCTGAGCTTTCACTCTCTATAAACTAGCAAGTTAGCCTATTGCTGTTTCATAGATGCTGGTCAAAGATATGAAACTCCTTAGCCAAAGACAAAGGACTTCATTACACATGGGCCAGCAAGCACAAGATCTTTATACTGGTGTGGGTTTCCATTTGCCTAGGTCCCAAGTCCTATGAGATGGCAGATGAATGCTGCACATCTCGTGCAGTATCGTCACATGTCAGTTTGACCACAGAACACAGCTAGGAGAATCCATTGATTTTCTAGGAAGGAGAAGCAAGCTTGATCTTGGTCTAGGTAAAGATTCTATTTCTCTAAAGTGCTTGCTGCAAACACAACCCTAAGAAATGTCTTAAGAAGTAAACAGAGTCTTGCATTGTATCAATGGAAGGTCAAGGCAAGAGAAGGGGAGCCGGCTGTGAAACTGTAGTTTCAAGTTTTGCATAATTATAATATGATGAATTCTTACACAAATGTAATTTGGTAGCCAGTGGAATACATTCAGTGTCCTAGGATTCAAACTTTAAATGATCACAACACAGAAAAGGCAACAATGAAGAGTTTTGCTTTGCTTACCCAGTAGGCGTCAACATAAAATTTACCTTACATGACTTGTTTAAAATTAATATAAAGAAATGAATTCTCACAGAATATATTTTAGAATATTTTTATAAGTATCCTAAAAAATTTTTCCAGAATCTGTAGATACACACACACACACACACACACACACACACACACACCCCACTCATTACTTTTATTAATGATTTAAAAGCTATGTACCTACAACTTGAAGGGAGAGTTCTCCTGACTGGCACTGTGTTTTTTGTTATATAGCCTTTAGCTATACACATGCACTCCTACATTTATTGTATGTAGGACTTGGAACAAATACATTTCCCTCTGGCTTTTCATACCATCTAAGTATTATTTGTATCTCCTCTCATTCCCCTGAATAACCCTCCCTACTCTCTCCCCAGTTAAAGTACTCCTTTTTCCCCAATTCCCCCTTAATAACACCTATCTCCTACAATATGTATACTGGCTATTTATATTTTTATCTTTTGAGAACTGACTGTTCATTAGCCCATTTATTGATTAAATTATTTTGTTTACTTTTTTCAATATATTTATTTTGTTTCATGCAATAAATCTTAATCATATTTAGAACCCTCCCCTCCCCATCTGCACCTCCCCCCATAGCTTGCCCACTGAATTTCACGTATTCTGTCAGATATGTTATGGCCTATTGAGTCAAGTGTGTATACCCAGGAGACTCCCAAAATAATACACACTATTGCCAAAGCCCTATTGCTGAAGACAGGCCACACTTCAGACATGGGACTTGGAGCAATGGAGGTGGAACTGACCTAGATGGCTCCTCCCTGAAAATAGATCTCGTGGTATCAGAGGATACTACATTAGCTGCCTAGGGAGAAAACTAATCAATGGTCCTACCCAGCTGTAAAACCCAATAAACAACATGCCTGGCCCAACAAACTATTGTTATTGATGCAGTAGTGGAACTTTTATCTTGGGGGTAATCAACAGCTGTCTAATTGGAATTAAGGCCCACTCAATGGGAGGGAATTCATGTGCGGTATTGTAAACAATCAAATACACCTGGCTGGAGAAGTCTTAGCCCCTAGAGAAAAACCTACATTTGCCACATCGCTATAATTTCTTACTTTATTCTAAATATGCATCCTCATATTAACAGGCAAGTGTACCTTTCATCCCTCATCAAAGAAGCTTCTTTTTGCAACAGATGGAAACTATTACAGAGTTCCACAACTGGTCAAATGCAGAGAATAAGTGTCTGTGAGATGCTTAACCCTAAGTGATATATCTTCAACGCAACCTCTACATATAAGATGAATGCATCCGTCAACTCACACCAGAGAAGTTTCCTTATGCTGCGGATGGTGATTAACACAGAAACCCACAATTGCAATGTGCAAAGAAAAAAGAGGTTACAGGGAGCTTAGCCATGAACAGGTCACCTATTTCAAACCTCTGCCTCCCAAAGCTCAGGGATCATTGTGGAAGAGGAGTCAGAAAGATTATAAGAGCCAGAGGTAGTGGATGACCACGAGGAAACAGTCTTCCATATAGCTGGTCAGTTACTCATATGAATTCACAGCAATGGTGACAGCATGCACAAGTCCTATGCAAGCTCAAACCAGACAAAATCCCAGCATAGGCATGGGGAAGTAAGAAATCCCAGCCCAACTTAAGGAACTTCAGGCAATTGGTGGGTGCTACAAGAGGCAGTATCTTACAGGGATAAGACTCTTGGTGGGACCAATGTATGGACCCACACTGAAGGACATTTGGGGGGCACAAGTTAGACTCTATAGGTCATATATATGATATATATCAGAATAAATTAGACTCTATATATCAGAATACATTAAATTGGGCAGGAGAAGACAATTGGGGAGGTGGGAGGAGGGGAGGGAATGTAAGTACCATCAAACTATATTGTATGAAAATTTCAAAAATTCAATAAAAAATAAACCTTTTTAAAAATTGAGGGTTTGAGGGGGAAAAAGCAATATACCTATAAAAGGAGACAAAACTACTCTCTTGGGTAGAATCTGGGAAACACAAATATTTTGAAACAGATAATCTAGAAATCTGAAGATTTGGAAATAGTAAACTAAATATTTTAAACACTTGAACCAAGTTTATTCCTTAAGAACCAGATAATATTAACATGGTAGTGCTTTGAGGGGGGAAAGTCAAGGAAAGAACGCTAGTATTCCCCCAAATTAAACTGAGAAATCATTCTTTGCAAACAAATATTCCCATGAGAGGCAGCTGAGACCTTTATAACCGGACTCCCCAGTTTGTCCAATTACCTCAACACTTAGTTACTGTGTGTACACAGATGATGTGCATTAAGAAAATGGACTGGTATTCTCATATAACTTCTAAGTTGTCCTCATTTGAACCTAAATATTTATACAAATAGACTCCAGGCATAAGAGTTAACTAGTTTTAAGCCTTCTATAGTTAAGACAGTTTTGTTACAGAACAAGATTGACAGTCTTAACTCATCATAAAAGTTTGCTAGAATTCAATTGTGTGACACCAAGATGCTTTCTTGGGCTTCCAAAGGCTGGGACATAGGGTTGTTTCAAAGTAGTCATTATCCACTCACCCTGCCCCCAAAACTACTTCTGTGCATAATTAAATTATGCTCTACAATTCCATGCTAGCTCTTTGGAGAAGTTCCCAAATAAAGTTGGGCTTTTTTCCTTTTGGCTACTTTTAAAATGAATCCAGTTTGTTCGTTCCTTTTTAGAAGCAGCTGACTTTAATTAGAAGAAAACTGGGGATTTTTTTTCCTCCAAACTAAATAGAACCCAATGATTTTCTTCCATAAGGTTTTTTTTTATCAGCAGCCACAATCCAATAATAAGCAATAGAAACTTGAAAGATTCTGCCAGACAACTGGGCATTTGCTCTAACAGCACCAAACAACTGACCTGACTAGTTCTCTCCCACTGAACTCCTAAACACATGGTGATATAGAGACATAACTTTAGACTTGAGGGCTTTATTTTTATTGATCCAAGATGAAGGATGGTTCAGAAAAACCAATATGGTTATTTTTAATTTTTATTGCATTTTTTAAAAGTCGAGTCTTTTGGAAACACTGCACCCCAAAGGAGCAGGAGTCTTTGGTGGTGACCTAATGCCTAACAGTACAATGGTCCTCTGTCCCAAAGCTTCAAGTGCTGCTTCACCATCCTCCTGACACCACCAGTAGTGAGGGGTTCCCCACTTACTGGGCAGCCCTGCCTACTAGGGAGTGCTTCCTGACACTAAGTCAAGGTCAGCCTTTCATGGCTTCTACTCAAAGTTTTGTTCTACGCACTGGAAGAGTTGGTACTTCTGGTGTCGTTTTTTCATGTGGAATCCTTTCCTTGAGCTGCAGGTGTTTATCCCATTTACCAGAATCTTTTTATGCACACTTAGACCTCATAAACAGAATTCACAAAAGAAAACAAAATATGGCTATGTCTTGCTGTTTCCTCTCTTTCTTATAGCTGTTCCTAGAAAAATAGAAAAGCATGCTAGCACTGTCCCTGTGACATACTGTTTCTGTGATGATGAAGAACAGACATCTTTTTACTGTATGTCAGCATTTTGGGACACATAATTTTTTACATATATATAGATATGTATATTATGTGTATGAGTGTTTTGTCTCCATGTATGTAAGTGCACCCATGCATGCAAGGCCTTCAGAGGCCAGAACAGAGCATCAGATCCCCTGGAACTAGAGTTACCGATATTTACTAGCCACCATGTGAGTGCTGGGAACTGAACCTGGGTCCTCTGCAAGAGCAGCCAGTCCCCTTAACTGCTGGCTGAGCCATCTCACAAGCCCAGCTTTGGGTCACATCTTACAGAATTTCTTGCTCTTGCTGTGTAGTGTCCCTTATACTGAGACACCTGTCAGCCCCACATCCCTCTCCTGCCTCTCTGCCTTGTTTCCACCTTTAGACTCTTCCTCTTTTATAAAAAAAATTCTACTTTTCTATTGAATTGAAATTCACATCATATAAAATTAACCATTTAAAAATGAACAACTTACTGATGCAGGGTTGTGCGGTCACCACATTTACCTAGTCCCAAGACATATTCAGTGTTCCAAAAATATTTGATCTGCTTTTAGCATTTGGCTTTCAAAGAAGCAATCTTCTGGGCTAAGGATGTGTCTCAGTTGGCAGACTACTGGCCTAGCATCTGTGAGGCTCTGGCTTCAGTCCCAAACACCAGCACTGCATCAACTGGCTGTGGTGGCACACACAGGTAATCCAGCACTTGGGAGCTAGAGGCAGGATGACCAGAAGTTCAAAGTAATCCTCAGCTATATAGCACATTGAGGCCATTCTGGAATACATGAAACCCAACCCCCCAAAAAAACAAAAAATAAAAAATCTATCATCCTTTTATCTTCTATCTTTAGAATCATTTTAAAGTCTTTTAAAATATAAGTATATAGAGGGACTGGAGAGCTGGCTCAGCAGTTAAGAGCACTGGCTGCTCTTCCAGAGGACCTGGATTCAATTTCCAACACTCACGTGGTGGTAACAACCATTTGTAACTCCAGTTCCAATGCCCTCTTCTGACCTCTACAGGCACTGTACAACATGGGTGTACTTACATACATGCAGGCAATACACTCATATGCATAAAATAAAAATAATAAGTAAAATGTTTTTTAAAATATTTTTTAAATGTTGAAATTATCCAACATTTCCCAAGGCCAGAAATCTGGCAGACATTTCTGAACACCCTAAGCCATGAGTCTAATTATTTAAATATATTTAATTATTAAAACAAATCTTTTCTAGTATGGATACAATGTTATGCTTATGTTTCAGGTTTCCCACAGTTACTGTTAATTAAGGCAGTACATTTTTGTGTCCTTAGCTTGTGAATGTGACCCTGATGGGACTATATCTGGTGGCATTTGTGTGAGCCACTCTGATCCTGCCACAGGGTCTGTGGCTGGCCAGTGCCTGTGCAAGCAGAATGTGGAAGGAGCCAAGTGCGACCAGTGCAAACCCAACCACTTTGGACTGAGGGGCTCAGATCCCCAGGGCTGCCAAGGTAAGTCCACTGGTCCAAGAGTCAACCCGGTGCATGTTAAAGTTCGTTGCCGTCTCAGCCCTAGGATTCCCTTACTATGATCCGTTAAGAATCCTGCCAGAGTCTGACCCTTTAAAACTGATGCATGACCTCCCACAAACTTTAGAAGTCACAGACAGCTTTCTCTGTGGGTTGTTGAATTTATCACAAAGGACCAGCAGAGGGCACTCACATTTCCTACACAGGAACAAACCTGGGAAAGTCCCCAAAATTTAATAGCAAATTGTGAAACCACTGGAAAAACGGCTTCTATTAATGTAACAGAATATAATGGATTCTCCTCTTGGTGACTGCAGGGCCAAAAAACACAACCAGAAGATAAAAGAGTGGAGAAAGATTTGTTGTCTGCCACAGGCAAGGATGGAGACAACCCCAGTCATTCCAAAAGTAGTGTCCTCAT